CATGTTCTGGCAGCGCAGCCGCTCCTCCTCCTGCTTCTCCGCCATGCGGTTCTCCAGCAGCCGCAGCTCCCTCCGCACCGCCTTCTGCATGGACGGCTCCAGCTCCAGCACCTTCCCCAGGTCCGCCTTGGCCTCGGCCTCATTCCACACTTCCGCGTGAGCCCGGGCGCGCACGTAGTAGGCCTTCACGATGCCTGCGGGAGCACCCAGCTGCACCCACCTGCCCAGTCCCAGACCGATCCCGGCCCGGCTGGGACTCCCCAGCTTACAAGACACGTAGCCCTGCCGGTCCGTGACTCCCCGGGCCCCCTAGGCCTCAGTTTCTTCAACAGTAAAATGGAAATGATGGTAATAGATAGCCGTACCGGCCGGGCGTGGTGGCTTATGCCTGTAACCCCAGCACTTTGGGAGGCCAAGGCAAGAGGACTGCTTGAGCCCATGAGTTCAAGACCAGCCTAGGCAACATAGTGAGAACTTATCTCTACAAAAAATAATAATAATAATAAAATAAAAAATTAGCCAGGCGTGGCAGCTTGCACCTGTAGTCTCAGTTACTCAAGAGACTGAGGCGGAAAGAATTGCTTGAGCCCAGGAGTTGGAGGCTGCCTGAGCCATGATCGTGCCACTGCACTCAAGCCTAGGCGACAATGTAAGACTTCAACTCAAAAGAAAAGAAAAGAAAAGAAAAAAACTAACAGCAGTACCTCTGCCCCACCCTTTCAAGACCCTGTGACTAATCTGCTGTTCATAACTTGGTATTCCTTTTTCTTCTATTAATAAAAGCTCTCTAAATGGTATAACCTTCAGGCCCTATCCCTGCACCTACCCTACGGTGATTATCAGATCATAAGAATTCAATGAGACAGTAGTTGCAGAGGACTTTGTGTCCGGAGCATGCTGAGTGTTGCATGTTGCTATTGTTAACATTATTCAAATACCGGCTTCACAAACATTGCCATCTCCTCATTGCACCGGTGCCAGTACCAACGTCATATTGGTCGCTACATTGACTGTCCCTGCCCTATGTTTAAAAAGCCCGTTCACTGCACCACAAAAATCTCATTGGATGCGCTATCTGCATGTGCGTCCAGATGCACATAAAAATAAAAGACCTCTTGCAATAAGCACTGCCCGCCCATCACTGCCATGCGATTACATACCTGGGGACCTCTGCTGGGTGGAGATGAGGTTTGGAGCCTTGACGGGGTCGGGAGAGAAGTCCAGGAAGGCCCTTGCATGGGACTGTGGGGGCCTGGGCCGCTGCCCACCGCCCCGCTCCCCACCCCCG